CTCAACTAACTTTTTTGTTTCCTTGAGCTCTGGTATCTTTTTTCTCATTATGTCCATATCTTTGGTGACTTGGGCTTTGAATTCATTAATTTCTTGAGACAACTTTAGAACTACTCTTTGGAATTCAATTTCCATCTTTTCTTCCATTCTATTTATCTTATTTGCAATTATTATCCTGCAAATTATAATTTTCAATTATTATCTTATTTGCAATTCGTATTCTGAATTCAGTTTCTGACATTGCTACCATTTGTCTATGCGTGGCATCTTCAGTTGTGTCTCCTTTGTCATTTAGTGTGGGGCCGATCTACTCTGGTTATTCATGTTGCCAGAGTTCTTCTGTTGAGTCTGCACCATGTTTATTTTCCACTGTTTGTTTATTAGAACTGGTAGTGTGGGATCGAATTGGGGGTTCCCAGGTAGTAGAGTTAGCCCCTTACCAAAGCTCTAGGCTTTGTACTTGTGGCTTATCTCCTACAACCTTACAAAGTCCCCTTTCAGAGTTTTGGCTGGAGACTCTGAGGACCTACTTGGTGAGATAGTGTAGGCTAGCTCTGTTTTGATATCAGCCAACCTCTACCCTAACCTAAGAAACCACACTATTAGATTTAAATCTCAACTGTGAAGATGAGAGAGGATACCCGAGAAGGGTGAGGTTTGGGAGAATAGGTCTTCTCACGGAAACCACAAGGATGCACCTGCAGGGTCCTCTCCATGGTGACTCAGCTCTTGGGAATTTGTAGGCTTAACTTCCTGGAACCTGGAAATTTCCAAGTTCTGTGAAATCCTGTGGTTCTCTAGGGGCTGGACTAGCATCTCCCGCTTCATTCAAACTGGCCAATGAGAAGGGTACTAGTGGGGTGGAACTTTCTGACTGTCAATAAAAAGGGAAAGACCAAGCCAATCGGGTAGTGTGGCCATTTGGAAATCTATTCTGTAAGCTCCCGGCTGATGAATAAAGCCTTTCCTTTTATAAACAGGGTGTTTGGGTGCTCTTTCTCTCCGATGGGCCTTGTCTTCCTGCAACAGAGAGATATAAACAGTTGTGGCACCCAGCCCCCGCCCTTCAGTTCTTTTGCATTACAGAACTTCAAAGGTCAACCTCAGAATGTCTCAGCCCCAGACGTGATTCCAACCAAATTGTCTCTGACAGTGCAAACTCTGCCCAACAGAGAGGGATTCAAAGACAATTCAAAGCAAAGGGATTCAAAGCACAATTGGAGCCAAGGATCCACACTCCCACCTGTCAGAATCAGTCCACACTATTGTCTACTTCTCTGCTCACAGGCCCAGCTGGAGCCATGAGTAATGCCCCCCGCCCACAGGTCTCAGTCCACACACAGCTAGCCTCTGGAGTAGAGTCTGGAGTAGTGCCTGCCGAACCAGTTGGAGTCAGGGGACTATGCCCTGCCTGCCAGTCTCAGTCCACTGCCTGGAAAGCCTCTGTTTGCAGGTTCTATTAGAGTTAGGGCACCACAGTCTGCCTGCAGGTCTCAGACCTCACCTGGTAAGCCTCTGCTCACCAGCCCTGCTGGAGGCAGTGGAGCACACCCTCGTCCTCAGGACTTGGGTCACACCCAGTAAGCCACTGCTTGAGGATTCTGTTGGAATCAAGAGACCATGCCCTTGCTCTCAGGTCGCAGTCCATGCCTATCAAGCCTCTGCTCACAGGCCCAGCAGGGACCAGCCCTGTCTGACAAACTCAGTCCACATGGGCAACCACTCTCCTGCTGTGGGTGCCATCAGAGCCAGGGGTTCTGCACCCCATCCCACTAGACACAGCCCAAACTGAGGGTCAACACTACCACTGGCCGGGCATAGTCATAACCAGGGGACTGTTCCTCCTCCAGCTGAGTGTCTCTTTCTTCCCACACCCTGTTTCTTCCCTGTTATTCACAGATTCCATCCTGATGGTTGGTGGTCCACACTATGCCCAGGTCTCTCAGGATAAAACCAAACACTTTGTGCTCTGCAGGTGGCAGAACTTTAGACTGTTATGCGAGGAGGAAAGGGTGGACTGGGAGTTTGGACTTGTGGGGAAAAAATATCTGTTCAATTTTATGCCTGGTGGGGTGGTGTCTAGGTTCATAAGTGGGACCTCCCTGGAGAAAGAGACCAGGAATTTAGTGTTTCTCTCCAGCAGGGTAAAATGACAGGTCTTTTGTTCCCTGCTTGATCACAGATAGCCTGTAGCAGGCCCCCTGCTTGGGGGAGAGGTCTCCCATCCTCTAGTCAATAGGCTTCTTACCTATAATTTGTTTTCTTGAATGCTCTTTCTTGAAGTTACAGCTTACCAAACTTCTTTCTTGGCTCAGCTACCTGTCTTTGGCTTCGTAGAGTCTAATTCCATCCAGTTTTTGTTCCTCTATTCAGGAGCCTCTGACAATGATTGCTACCAATTGGTCATCTTCCCAGAATTCTCTCCATCAGCATTATTTCATATTAGAATATTTCTATCACCCCCCAAAGAAACTCCATATCCATTAGCAGGTGCTCCCCATTACTCTTCTTCCCTAACTCCCAGCATCACCAGTCTACTTTTCTATCTCTACTGATTTGCCTGTCTTGGATATTTCATAAATGGTGTAACGTAATATATGGTCTTTTGCAACTGGGCTCTTCACTTAGTGTAACATTTTCAAGGCTCATCCATCTAAAAGTACTTCAGTTCTCTTTACCGCCAAATAATATCCTATTTATGCATATCACATTTTGTTTATCCCTATTCATCATTTGGTAGATATCTGACTGTTTCCACTTGTTGGCTATTATGAATGGCACTGCTATAACACCTGTTCAGGTGCTGTGGTTTATGCACAGGCTTTCATTCCTTTGGGGTATACTCTTAGGAGTGAAAGTTCTGGATCTCATGGAAACCATGTTGAACATTTTTAGGGATTGATAAACTGTTTTTCCTAGCAAGTGTACCATTTACATTCCCACAGAGTACAAGCCTTATAATCGTTCCATGTCCTTGCCAACTCTTACTACAGATGTCTTTTCACTGCAGCCATACTAGCGGATATGAGTGGTATCTCACTGTGATTCTGATTTGCATGGCCTTTGTGACTACTGGCGTTCAGTATTTCTTCTCTAGAGAAATATCTATTAGTGTCCCTTGGCCACTTCTTTAAGCAGACTTCATTTTTTTTTTTCCATTCATAAAACTTTTATTCCACTTACATGAACTTAATACATGTGTTCTTAACAATTATGCTTGGATTGTTCATGAAAATTTCATAAGACAATTAAACAAAGCTAGCCATCATCTCAAGTTATTTCCCTGTTAACTATTTTTCACAGCACATGCATGTTAAGCAAGTATCAAAAAAAAAATCACAAAAGCAAAAAACCTATAAAAAGTTAAATACATGGGTTTTTTTGGTTTGTTTTATTGCTGTGGTTGATATACACAAAGTAATGGATATCGAGCAATTCACTTTACTGCATCTTTTTTTTTACGTTTGTTCTTAGGTTGCTTAAAACATTTAAATACAAATAAAATGAGTGTAGCAAAATAATGAATGCAATAGCAGGTAACTTTACAAAGAATGGAATGTGAACCATTTCTGCCCTTATCCAGAGTAAACTGGGTCACAACTTTGTCTAGAGGAACACTACATCCCCTAAAACAAAAAAACAAAAAACCAAAAAAAAAAGAAAGGAACACTTCTGCAGCTATTGTCAAAGGCGTGCACCCTGAGATTGAGTATTCCACAGATGCACACGGTTTAACACATAGGATCCATGAGACATCTGTTCCTACCACAGCCTGGTAAGTGCTCCACACTTTAAAAGTACCCACAATAAGTACACATGTGACTGGAATCAATGACCCCTTTTATTCCCCACCAGGACAAACCAATATGTAGGCAGTTTTCTTTGCTCAGACATGGAAACAGTTTTAACACTGGCCCTTCTGAAGCCGCAATGTACCAAAAGTACTACACCAAATACTTATAACTTGTATAAAAATTCCACATCCCAGGCAACACCTGTGGCTCAGTGAGTAGGGTACCGGCCCTGTGTACAGAGGGTGGCAGGTTCAAACCCAGCCCTGGCCAAACAGCAACAAAAAAATAGCTAGGCGTTGTGGCGGGTGCCTGTAGTCCCAGCTATTTGGGAGACTGAGACAAGAAAATCACCTAAGCCCAAGAGCTGGAGGTTGCTGTGAGCAGTGTGACGCTGTCACAGCACTCTATTGAGGGCGAGAAAGTGAGACCCTGTCTCAAAAAAAAAAAAAAACAATTCCTCATCCCCATATTGGCCACCTCAAGATGAAAACAGATAACTCCCTAAATGTTAACTGGCTCTACTCCCCTAAGATTAAACATAAAAACCACATGGGAAATATAGAAATTCAAATAGAAGTAACATAAAGTTATCATAAATCGTGAACAAAAAAACTATTTGTGGGACAGCATGGATGACAAAATGGTCTGCGGTGTAAATTTTAGAATGAGGCAGATGAAAGTTGGAAGGCCCGTTAATTTTCCCCTCCTTCTCCTGCTTCAGCTTCATCTCCCTGGGTATCCGGTGTCCACAATGTCAAGTTGTCTCTCAGCAATTGCATCATTAACGTGCTGTCTTTGTACGACTCTTCACTTAATGTATCAAGTTCAGCAATGGCTTCGTCAAAAGCTGTCTTTGCAAGAGAGCAGGCTTTCTCTGGGAAGTTCAGAATCTCAGAATAGAAGACAGAGAAGTTAAGGGCCAGGCCCAATCTGATAGGATGTGTTGGCCGTGTTTCCTTTTTACTGATTTCAAAAGCTTCTTGGTATGCCTGTTGTGACTGATCCACAATTCCTTTCTTATCATCACCAGTGGCAACCTCAGCCAAGTAACGGTAGTAGTCTCCTTTGATTTTCAAATAGAAGACTTTGCTCTCTGCTTGTGAAGCATTGGGAACCAAGAACTTCTCCAAAGGGGACAGTGCATCACTGCAGATATCTCTTAGCTCGGTCTCAAATTTCTCTCTGTATTCTCAAGCCATCTGCTGTTTTTTCTCAGCACCTTCCATCTTCTTCTCAATACTTGAGACAACACTCCAAGATGACCTACGGGCTCCTACAACATTCTTATAAGCAACTGAGAGAAGTCTCCTCTCCTTGTTGGGTGATTCAGCTCCTAGCGGAGTTATAGACTTCATGCAGGCTGCCATGGCATTGTATCACTCAGCCTGCTCGGCCAGCTTGGCTTCTGAACCAGCTCGTTTTTATCCGTGACTGGATGCTCTGTGACCAGAGCGGGCAGTGGACAGATGGACGGACAGGGGCTCAGCAGTCTCTGGGCGGTGGCAGCAGTGAGGCTGAGACTCTGTCATAAATAGACTTCATTTTTTTTTTTTTACTTCTTCCTCCTGGACTACTCTCTTGTTCCCTATGTAGCTGGGATCACAAGGTCCGGCTGTCTTGTTGTTGTTCTTGTAGAGACGGGGTCTCACTCTGCCTCAGGCTGGTTTTCAGCTGGTCTCAAACCTCTGAGCACAGGTGATCCACCCGCCACGGCCTCCCACAGCGCTGGGACAGCAGACGTGAGCCACCACGCCCGGCCTAGACTTCATTTTTTAAGAGAAGTTTTAGGTTCACAGGAAAATTGAGGAGAGGATATGGAGAATTCCCACATGCCTCCTGCCACACATGTGGCCTCCTTAACCATCAGCATCCCCACCACAAAGGCACGTTTGTCACCACTGAGGAGCCCACACTGATGCGCCATCACCCAAAGACCCCAGTGGACATGAGGGTTCACTCTTGGTGTTGTGCATTCCATGGATCTGAGCAAACAGATACAGAGTAATGGTTATGTTTTTCCATTTTGCTTTGCAGTAAATGAATACTGAAGGCTGGGCAATTTATAAAGAGAAAGGTTTATTTGGCTCACAGCTCTGCAAGCTGTACAGGAAGCATGGCAGTGGCTCTGCGCCTGTGGCTCAAGTGGCTAAGGTGCCAGCCACATGTGCGAGATCTGGCGGGCTCGAATCCAGCCCAGGCCTGCCAAACAACAATGACGGCTGCAACCAAAAAGTAGCCTGGCGTTGTGGTGGGCACCTGTAGTCCCAGCTCCTTGGGAGGCAGAGGCAGGAGACTTACTTGAGCCCAGGAGTTGGATGTTGCTGTGAGCCGTGAT